CAGGAAGCGGAGTTGTGAAAAAAAGAAACTCAAAAAGGACTGGAAAATTGGAAAATGGCCAAGAGAAGTCCAAACCATGCAACCACCGGAGGTAGACAACCAGAAAGAGGCAGCGCTCTTCAAACCACTAGTACACAGCCCCAGCCTTGTGGGAATTTGTTTGTCAGTGTTGTCACCTACTCTGAAAATTTTGCGCCTCGGGCCTACCGGACAGCAATGGCTGGCAGCGCCAGCCAAAAAAGAAAAAAGCGCGCCCGCTGGTGGTTCGGAAAAGCTTGGCGCGCAGTGCAGCGACTCCAGCCCGGGTGTATTGGCGGTTTGACAAAGGGAACCAAATGAAGTGTGTGCAAAAGTAAGGGATTCATTACCAACACAACCAAACGAGTTTACCACTGGGGAAAGAAGGACGAGGAGGACAAATAGGAGGAGGAGTATGAGGAGGATGGGGAGGAGGAAATGATAACGCCACCTGGAGGACTAGAAAAACTGTCCATGAGAGATAAGGGGTATAATAAGGAAGGCAAAAAGTAACATCCATGAAGAGAGTGCAAATAAGGGAGCGTGGAGGGGGAAGAACCGGATTAGGAGCATAAAACTGGACAATACCTCATCCATGGAGAGGGCATCAGTGAAATTTGTTCAACCATACACGGCACACGTACAAAGTTTGTAGATGCGCCAATATATGAAAAACAATGCTGCCAAGCAAAAGAAAAAAACGAAAGAAAGAATGCTGCCAAATATCTACATACATCGCAGATGTAGCAATTTCAAGGCAATACAGAGTCGATGAGAGAGTATCAGGTCGACTCACGCACTTGCTGTCCGTTCCAACCACCACCTGTCCACTTGCTGCTGCCATTGCATCGTCGCCCAACCTGCAGGGGGAGGAGCATAGGAACACAACCGCAGGCACATAGTGACAATATCACAAATACACGTCAAAACTCAGCAAGCACAGTCAGAGCCTAACGGAAACCGTCAAAGACACACAAACCGGTTTAAAGTCGATCGTGTATCTACCCAGCATACCTCCAGAGCTTTCCTGATATCATAATCTTTTTTCTCTCTCTCTCTCTCTCTCTCTCTCTCTCTCTCTCTCTCTCTCTCTCTCTCTCTCTCTCTCTCTCACGCGCGCGCGCGCGCCCCTACAGTTAGAAGAGTGAAATTTCCTCTTGGATTCCTGTGTGTACATTCAGGACGTCCTGACTGCTAACAATTTGTCAATCAACACCAAATCAAGTTCCATGTGTACGATGCATAGAAACAGGGACCTCAGCTCTGGACTCTCCGTCTTCAATGTCACTATATTGCTCTGTACTCGTGATCCACCCAACCACATATTGCCGTGAACAGGCA